AGTAACTGCAATGGAAGAGCTAGATCAAAACAGATCAGTAAACTGTGTGCTAATATTTACCTGTCTCTGGCTGAAGTCTGAATAGCCTGGAGCAGGGATTACAAGAAGATAATTCAGCTGCTGCTGGATTGCTGTTGCTCTCCTGTGGGAGGGAGCAGCCAAGTTATTGATGTCTCTGAGGGTACCTGCTCTGAATGGCTCAGCAGGCTCATGTTTTTTCCCTCCCCCAATGCACATATCTCATATCTTCTGTGGGAAGGTTTGAGTCAGCTGATGTGCTTGCTCATCAGTGTGGTAACTTAAATTGGACAAGCAAGTGCAAACCTAGGATGGGTTTGGAAAATAACTGATATGAAGATAGTCAAGAACAAGCATCAGGGAAGAACAGTTTGAAAAGGGAATGATTACCTTCAGCTTTTGAATATTTCTGACCTTTACCTGTGGTAATTCACAACTGTAGGGCATTATTGATTGATCAGTTAGTGTTCTTGCTGGGGTACAAGAAAACATGTTATGAAGAATATTTTACTGTGCTCCATAGGTTTGATACAGACCTCATTGCTCGGTGTGTGGTTTCTTCTTTCTGCACTATAGCACACACTTTCTTGGTTGAAATTTGTTCCCACATTTCAGTTAAAATGGATTTTGATTGTGAGGACTTCTATAGGAATATAAATGGTGGCTTTGCTAGTTCCCATATGTGAGGCAAAACTCCAGGAGTTGTTTTAATACATCAGGTTTTAACAGATTGGGACAGTATTTCGGAACATTCTGTCTCCATTATAGCAGCTGTAGGTTGTTTGGAAAGCCTTAGCAGTCTGTGTGAGAATACAGGAGGGTCCATAGGATGGCTTCAGGAACTCACCCTTGCCTGTGTTTTGGTAATAGATTTAAGTTGCTAGTGCTGTGAAGACTTTAAATTCCTTAATTCCGTGGAAGTGGATTTGCTTGGGACATGAACAGTACTGAAGGGTTTTGTGCTGATTCACTGAGCTGTCTAAAGAAATGAGAGGTGGAACAAAACGTGTTTAGGGCAAATCTTTCAAGCTGACTAAATGAGTATCCAGATGTCAGCCCTAAGGACTTTAAAACTTACTTTTGCATGCAGTTCTTTAACTTAAAGCCTTCTCAGGAAAGTTCCTTTCTGGCTTTGTTGATCTGGATCCAGAAAACATTTGCTAAATCTGAAGATGGTATTTCAAAACCAAAAGTTACTGTTTGATCATGACTGTGCAAATTAGAAATGGACCTGAAATACTTGTCACAATCAATTCTGGAAATCTGCTGGTTGAGGTTTAATTTCAGCTATATTTGTATTTCACATCTTCAGAAACACCAAACCTAACACACCTGGTTTTCTCCAAGGGCAACTGTGCTGAGAACACTGCCAAGAAGCTCACTATTTCACGGGAGGAACAAGACACTTATGCCATAGGCTCTTACACCAAGAGCAAAACAGCCTGGGACTCAGGGGTGTTGAAAAATGAAATAGTTCCTGTCACTATTTCAAAGAAAGGTATGGAAAAGTGTGATGAGATGAACTGTGTTTCTCATGGAAAGCTCCAGCACTGTTCAGTGCAAACTGTATTGTTTAAACATGGAGATCAGGAACATGAATTTTGGGTGTACTAAAAATTTTGTTTCACAGAGTTCATGGTGAACAGCAGTTAGTGACCTGTGATCTGGAGTTTGGGTTTTCTTTTTTCTCTAATGTTACATACCATCTCTTCTTCCTTTTTTGTGTAAGTGGAAGACTAGATACTGAATTTGGCTTTATGGCTTAAGGACATCTGTGTTTTAATCTGTCTGAAAGATACGTTCTTTGTCCCTTTTGTTCAGCTGCTGGGAACTATAAATGGATTTATAAATTTGGATTTATAAATCAATAAATTTGATTAAGTTTTCCTAAGCCCTTGTTTCAGCTTGCATTTTACACACATTTAGATTTTCTTTACTGAAATAAATTGTTTAAATAAGGCAGCATTTATCAAATGCTGTGTTAGAATGTCTTAGGAATGGAGTGTTCTACAACATACTGAACGCAATCTGAATTTCAGGAAAGCCAGATACAGAAGTGACAGAAGATGAAGAATACAAACGTGTGGATTTCAGTAAAGTTCCAAAGCTGAAAACTGTTTTCCAAAAAGAAAACGGTAAATATTTTTACATTAACTGATTTTCTGCCACCTGCAAGGATACTTTGTTACAAGGAAGAGTGCTGTTCACAAGAGTTTGAACACCCAGCTTTTAAGTCCCTTAACTTTTAAGTGTCTGCTCAGCTAAAGCAGAGTAATGCACAGCAGCATGAGCTGGCTTGGATTCAAAGATGGTCCAAGCACCTTAAGCCAGTGAAAAACCTCTCGTTTGGATATTTGCTTTAAAAAGAATGAAAACAGATTAGTTTCAATGTAGCTGTTGCCTTGGTCTCTGCCACGTGTAAGCTCTTGTTTCAGTGGGAGTTGCCTGTTGCTTCCCTGAATCTGTAAGTCATAAACCTTTCTGGCTAAATCAAAGTTGTCCCTCATTCCCAGCCCTTTCTAAGCTGGAATTTAATGCCAGCAATGCTGTGGAAGGCATGATCTAAACTGGCACTTGGATAAAGTTACAGATAACTGTAATTGTGCTTGTTTAATCAAACTGATTTTAAAAAAAGGCAACTCATTTTTAGTTAACTCAGTGCAGCAGGTATCACCATACTTTTGAGACCTTGTGTTCAACAAACCAAGGGAAAACCAGTCCTTTATAGGGTATGTGTGAGCTGTATTGCATCCTGCTTTTCCTTCTGTTTAAACAATGCTTTCCCTTTCTTAGGGACAGTTACAGCTGCTAATGCCAGTACCCTGAATGATGGAGCAGCTGCTTTGGTGCTGATGACTACAGAGGCAGCCAAGAGACTGAAAGTCAAACCATTGGCACGGATAGTAGGTATGATCTGTGGGTATGGCCCTGGAAAATACTCCCACCGTGTGCTCTCAGACTGGGAATCCTGGTTGGGTGGTTATCTGACACCGATGATGTCACAGCTGCATCTTCTCAGTACAGTCCTTGAAATCTCAAGTGTTGTACCAGCAGGTTTTTGATCATAAACAGAATTTTCTGTATGTAATAATATGAAAACTCTGAAAGCATTATTGTCTGGCTCACTTACGGCACTGCATTTTAGATGCATTTATTTCATGGACCGTTATCGTCAGAGATTTTCTGTCTTGGCTGGGTTTGCTGCTTGTATGAAAGAAAATCATGTATGGTAAAAACAAAAGGTCTTTAAACAGCTTCTGTGTTGTTGGATTTTCTTACAGCTTTTGCAGATGCTGCTGTTGATCCTATTGACTTCCCAATTGCACCTGCATATGCTGTTCCCAAGGTAGGAATAAAACTGAGTTGTTTTTGAAAACCAACAAACTTCCCTAGCACTGCATTGTTGGTTCATCCCTCAGTGGATCTTCCTGCAATTAGGCTGGAAATTACAGTCATGTACACAAACACAAAGAACATGCGCTTTTCAGAGGATCAAGGCTAGAATGCAGATCTTCAGGGTAACAAATGTCTCACACCTATCTTGAAAGGGAGTATTGTTTAACACTGCTTTTACCAACTTGGAGCTTGTTTACACTGTTGAAGCTTTGCAGCTCCGTGGCTAAAGGGCAAAATAAATGTGGCTGTACAAGGATAGATTCATTCAAAAAGGAACTGAAGCATATGGTGTGAGGCAACACTGTGGCAGTTTACACGTAGGTACTCTAGCAGCAGCCTTAGTGTGATGGAAACGGATCCTTGGCATAGGCTGCTCTTCCTTCTTTTGTGAAAACTCAAGTTTGTGCATCAGGCCCTCGGTTTTACTTTTTCCCACCTGACAAAGAGGTTCCAGGATGTGAATTTGCATCAGACTCTGGGCAGCCTGAGTCACTGACTTCAAAATAGATTATTTCTGTAATTAGCTTCCTAATTTTGTCATAGCAGTAATTATCATTTGTATTATTTTTTCTAGATTCTGAATGAAGCAGGTCTGAAAAAGGAAGATATTGCCATGTGGGAAATTAATGAAGCATTCAGCGTTGTGGTGCTGGCCAATATCAAAATGCTGGGAATTGATCCACAAAAAGTAAATATTAATGGAGGTGCTGTGTCTCTTGGACACCCAATAGGGTAAGTAAAATAAGCACTGGCTTTTGTTCTGCACAGGGGCATTGTTTTCTAGACAAATTGCCAACACTCTCAAATTTAATGGAACTAGGAAGGGTGAAAAAATATGTTATCAAGTATGTAGTTAGTTCAGGCACGTGAAGTAAATTTGAAGGTATCTTGAGAAGAGCATTTTGCTCTTCACAGTAAGTTATGTCCTACTTTGTATAAAGAGCTTGTTACCATAGCTGTGTCTGTTTATGAAGTACAGAACCAAATCACTATTCACATATAGTATAATAGACAACAGTAATTGATCAAGTAGTTAATCTAATAAAACTTACAGCTAAACTAACCTGAAAATAGCAAAGGATATGGTCCAGGGACTTTTATTTTCCTTGCATGAGCAAAGTGAAATTCCAGGTCCTGTCAAAGCATTTTTGGCAGCAAATCCAGGCGTCTCCAAGCAGGCAGGGACAGCCTGGGGGATGCTGGTGGGTCTAGTTTGAAGCTGTGTCTTCTGGTTAGAGGAGTCGATTACCTGCTGTGTTCCCCAACCACTGTCACTTAAATATATCCCCTTAATCTTCCCAAGACTGAGCATGCTGCAAAGTCCAGCACAGATGTGAAATAACCACGTTGTACATGAGGAGCAAGTAGAAGTACTTCATGGTTCATAAAAAGCATAATCCTGCAGGACATGCTGACATCTCCTTTGCAGTATCAACTGCTTCTGATAAGGCAATCACTGTCTTTTGTCTTAAAAGTTAATTTGTCTCAAAATTGTCTTTAAAGTTAATATCAACAGTCTCATGACAGAATTTAAATGCCTGGGTTTGCATATGAGGCTGCAGTGCAGCAAGTTTTAAGCAAGTAAGAAATTGTTTGAAATTAATCATTAATATCAATTTGATTATGGTAGATTTGTTTTAATCTTCTTTGAAAGAGCTTTGCTACATGTAGAGATACTTAAGAATATACAGACTAGCATAGAGGTGATTCGTTTTGCCAGAAGTAACATGGAATTTTTGTCTGTATCTTTGTTTTGTTAACTACTGTAGATAGAGAGGAATAATCTGTATTGTATACAACTGTAGACAAAAAGGTTTGTTTGGTCACTGTTGGTACTGTGTTCTGCCAACTGTCTAGCATGGGTCAAAGTAAGAATTTCCTTCAAACTAAGCTCTACACTTTGCTTTCTCCTGTATTCAGAATGTCTGGAGCAAGAATTGTTGTTCACATGGCCCATGCACTGAAACAAGGACAGTATGGTCTGGCAGGAATTTGCAATGGAGGAGGAGGTGCTTCTGCAATCCTGATACAGAAGCTGTAGCCCAAGTAGCATCAGAAACAGCCTGAAACGTGCTCCGATCAAAATCATGTGTGGTAGCTGTTACCCCTTATTTATCAATCAGTGGATGAATTCTGTAACTGCTATTCTGAGATTTCTGAAAGCATCATTGATTACTGATACAGACACCTGTGCTTTTATTACTTACCAGTGCAAGTTTTTATACAGTACAACTAAAGAATGTCAAATTATGTCTTGAGGCCTGACAATAAAGAATGTTAACTGTGGCTCCTCTGTCACATCTTGTTTCTCATAGGCCCCTGAAAAGGAATCCTCTTGGTAACTCAGAGTGCTGCTACTAGAAACAGCTACTTTCTTACAGTTTTGTTGCTTAATTTTCCTAACTACTCAGTGATTTTCATGGAAAAAATAACTAAATCAAAAGTTGGGTTTTCTACCATCAGGTACATTGAACTCAGCCCAAATGCAAATTTGACACTAATTTTAACAGGAACTGAAAGCTACTTCATGAACTTAAAAATTTTAGCAAGACACACAACTTTTTAATAAAACAAAAATATTTATTCAAGGTGTAAATGCTATGCAGTATTTAGTTACTGGATGGGTTTAATATAAACATCTACTGCATAATATTGGTTCCTTAGGAATCCTTGTATTCTATCTGAAACATTGCCCTGTTGCTGTACAGATCTCTTACAAGAAAACTTGCAATTTTTTTTTAAGACCTCAAGAATTTGAGAAAAAAGTACCAGAAGAGAAAATTCTGCAGTTTTGGAGCAAGGTGTGCTCATTTTCACCCATGCTAGTTAGTAGTAAAATGTAGGCTGAGCTTCTGCCCCCACTTCCAAGAGAGTCTGTGTAATAGCTGACAGCCTCTAACATTAAACAGAAACATCAAATGCAAATTTTTCCACATCTGGCTACAACTGTGATAGTAACAAACTTCTCAGCAGTACAAATGACAGATAAAGAATTGACTTTTTCAACAGAATATGCTGTAATTGTTAAGTGTCACACTGGGGTGTGACCTCACACAAAATACATTGTTTGAAAACAGCTTTTGCATTCAAACAACATCTCTGCATCAAATACTGTAAACATACGAGGCCTATCCAAATGACAGTTCTTGTCTGAATGAGTGGCCAGGAAAAGCTTCATTAGCTGAGAAATGTTTTTTGAGGTTTTACTGGCCTTATGTTTAGCTACTGGTATTTCTGGTAAGTCATTCAAAGCCTTACAACATGGGTTTGACAGTTATGGAGTGTTAGTCCAAGCCAGTTACAGCTGAAGGGTAAGTCCCTTCTGGATTCAGCAAGACCATGGATTGGCCAAGCTAGCTGCCGTGCCTCAGAATGGCAAGTGACAAACTGCCTTCCAGCTCACCTCCTTTTCACAGACTGGCTGAGCAGCTCAGTTACAGAATGCAGCAGAACAGACAACATGATGTACATACAACCTTTCTTACACGTCATTTACACAAATTTACAACTTTGCAAATTAAATGGCTCTGTAATTATGCAAGTGCTTTTTCAAAAATAAACATATACCGACTCAGTGATATTTACACTTAGCAACCTGCTTCAGAAACAGCACAACTTTGCTATAAAGTGAAACTTCAGTGCACTGAAAGTGCAACTTGCCCTTTAGAGTTAACTTTTCTTCCCATGCAAAACCTCTGCATCACACCACGGAGCTTCAGACAGTCCCAGTTCAACTTCTTTTTGTTCATTCATCATAATGCAAAGACAACAAGAACTTGTCCACATCCATATGGCAGCTTCTTTTTCTGGAGGAGAGGGAAGTAACAGCTGTGTTAAATACTAAGAACCTGGGGGTACTGGAGAATCCATTCCATTCCTTTCCTCCTCACCTTCCATCTACCTGGTAAACACAGGTGCACAAAGCTCACCCAGAACTCACACACACGTGTGCCTCCCTGGTATGAGTGGTACAGTCACTCCTGCTGAGCTCTCAGCCTCACCAGGAGCTCACCCAGACTGAGCCCTGCACAGCCCCTCTGCTCTGGGCATGGACTCAGTGTGAGAACAGTGTTTCTCAGTCACAGTATTTCAGGAGTATCCTAGAACTAAGGATGAGGATTTACCAAGTTACACTGTGTCTCTTTTTCAAGTTACCTACATACATCACCTTTTTGTGTCTCACACCTTTGCTATCTGCCCTTAAACCCTCAAGTCAAAGGCACAGTGCTGCAGACTTAGTGACTGGCAATACACAAAATGAGGATTCCTACTCATGGTGATGATGCAAGAGCAGCCCAGCTTCTAATACGGCCTACTTTTGAATTTGGCCTAATTCCTACACTCCACCTAGAAACTTAGTTTGAAGTTAGAATTTAGAAACTCGTTCCCATTTTAGGAGAAATAATTTAGTTTTCATAGGTATGTATTTTAAAGAGTCAGTGAGAGTTGTGTGTATCTGAAGACTAATCTTCAGAAAATTGTTCAGAGTAGGCAAAGTTAGAAAAACACACAATATAAACAGGAGGTGAGGGATTTGCATCAGCACCTCTGAACCATCCCACTAAAAATAGTATATAGATATCTCTAAGATATATTTAGAATTTTAAATAGTGAAGGAAATGCTTGTACTTGCCTTTATTTTCTTCTTTTTTGATGGTGTTGGAGAACTTTGAAGCTCTTTCCTATTTGCAGAACGAGCATTTCTCTCACCCTCACTTAAATCTTCTAGTTTCCTTTTCTTCACCGAGCTCCGTAAGGATCTGAACTGCTGAGTGTTGTCCTTCAGGGGGGTGGCAGTGCTAGTCCTTGCGATGGCTGCGCGCGACAGGATCATCAGCGTGTGTGCAGCCATGCTGACGCTGTTCTCGCTGCCCGTCTCGCTGGCCGGGCTGCAGGCAGGCAGGTCGGGGGTAGCAGGGGGCACCATGATTCTGGGGGTGGTGCTGTCCTCGTTGAAGCGCCGACAGGTCGGTGTCCGTACGCTATCCGCAGTGTCGTCCGTGTGCCTGTCCCCAACTCCGGACGGCGTACGCGGGACTGGCAACTCGCCGTTTTCAGCTGTTTTACCCGTTGGGCTTTGCCACTGAATATCCTGCAACATTTCCATACACTGTTTACTGAATGGACTTGACAGACAAAGGCCTTGGTTGGAACCCTTAGCTGGTTCTCGCTTCGGCTCCTTCGAGGACAGAGAGACGGACACTGCCGATTTGCCACTGCCAGTCCCGTTCGACAGTGGGCCCTGCTTTTTGTTCAGCTCCTGCACTGAGGCCACTGTCTTCTCGTTCCATAGGCCAACGCTCTGTTGGCCGTTGGAGAGTTTGGCACCATCCTGGTTCTTCTGCTTTTCATCGGTGTCCCTTCTCAGTTCGTTTTCTTTATTTGCTGTAGCCTTGTGGAAGGGATCTGAGGGAAGCCCTGCAGTCACCACCTTCCGCTCGGGCTGTGGCTCCTTTGCAGAAGTGTTTCTGTTGCTACCAACTTCTGGCTTGCACAGGATTCTGGGCAATGTTTTATCCTTCTCTCTCTTTGCTACCTGTGCCTTAGCAGAGGAGGATGCAGAGTCAACAGCAAATAAAGTATTTTCGTTTCTTTCTTTCTGAGATGAACTCTTAGCAGTCTGAGTTTGGGTGTTTCCTCCTGGAGCAGGTAGAACGTTATCAAAACAAAGCACTCTCCTGTGACTTTCATTCTGTCTTGAATTTGAGCTTGTGCTCTCTGCTGGTGCAATAGGTAAGTTCTCCTCCACTTTCCTTCCTAGTTCTGCAATGGTAAGCTTGTCTGAGTTTCCAGTCCTGAAAATGAGATGAAAATACTTCATCAACACACTCAGTCTCACTAGGCAAGTTCATTTCAGCTGGCTGGAAGTGCCCACCCACCTCTCAAAATACCCATTTAAAGCTCTCTCTGTTCTTAAATATAAGTATCAACAAGGAAAGACCAGGAGTAAGGGATGGCAACTGCAGAAAGCTCAGAGAATGACAAAAAGGTTGACAAAAAGGCATGAAACAGAGTCGGTACACAGAACAATAGGTAGACTGGAGCTCTTCAGCCTGGAAAAAGAGATGACTGAGGGGAAATGCAGCAGAACTCTGTGAAAAAAAGCCCACAAAAAGACAACTATTTGCTGTATCTTCCCAATCAAAAAACTAGGGGCATCAAGTAAAACTAGCATCAGGTTAAAGACAAACAAGGAGCTCTGGGCGCTGCATGTAATTAACCCTGGGAACTCTTTTACCGTAAGACATTTGTGGATGCTAGTAGTTTACTTGACTTAAAAAGAAACTGAATGCATTCATGAGAGGACAGTCAATCTATCCTAGGACACTACTTATGGAAGTCCTTGGAGCCCAAACTGCTAAGAAGCTGACAGAGTATTCTGAGCAATGCCATCATGCCTGTGCCTTGTACTCTCCACTGTGCATCTGCTGTGGGTTACACGATACAGAGCAAGACAAAAAACTTCCAGTGGGTATCTGGACAACAACATAAACTCTCTGGGGCTTGATCTCCACCTGACAACCAGTCACATTCAAGTGAAAAAGTCACCACTGCACTGTGAACATATCAAAAATGTTTCGCTCTGTCAGCTCACACCACTGTTATGGCTGTGCCCTCTGGCTGGACTATGCTGCATTTCCAAGAGAAGCTTCGGCATCATTCATCTATGCTACTAAGACTCTCCCCATGCAGACAAGCCTTTATATGATTTCCAAGGGGAAAAGCCAAATTAATTTTGGGATGGTAACTTTGGTACCTTTGGGATGGTAAAGAAGGTATGGGTGGCAGCAGCTTGTTTTATTTCCCTGACATTTGAGACAGAGGGTAGAGAAGAGAAATGACATCTCTTTACAGGAACGTTTTGCTCTCTTTGATATGCAGAACATATGTCTAGAGATCAATTAAAGTTAAAAGAAAGCTCAATTATCGAAGTGAAATTAGGCAAAATCTTGCTTCTGTGGCTTTAAAAAAAATAACTACATTTTGCATGTATACTGTACACCTTGGTATATGGTTGGGGTTTTTAATAAGTTGACTTTATTGCTCCTGTTCTCCTCTACTTTACCAACATTTTTACTGAGTTCTGAATAGGCAGGGTTTTTTTTAAAAGTATGTCTCATTTTTACAATAAGAGAACATTTCACCTCTAATATTAAGATTGAACTTACCTCTTCCTACACTCTTTTGCTGATTCCAACATCTTTTTGTTTCTGAAGTCCATTAACGATAAGGAGAGTTACTGCTGAAGCCTTGCTCTCTTCTCTCACTTGCCCAACAGAAAACTAGTACCTACCCCTACTAGCAATTAAGTGATATTCCTCAGTACAAAGTTAGTGTGCTGCTGTCCTCGCCATCTCTGCTCTCAGTTTCCACTTTCTAAAGTGTTCTAATCCACACAGCTGAAACACAGATGCAGAACTCAATCTAATAAACTCTACTGGATTTGGGTCAGAGAATGGTAAAGGCAGTGAGGCTACACTACAAAACCATGGTTACCACTCATTTGAAAAGAAAATCCAAAGGTTTTAGTCACTGAAGTCTCCCGGTAAATCTAATTTCTCCTAACTTGGACTCCACTCAATTTTTATTTTACTACAGAGACAGTAGAAAATAAACACAGCAATACAAAATTAACACAGGAACTGTAACAGCAAAATTCTAGCACAGGCTGTAGCAGCACCAGTACAGATCTGTACCAACACTCCCAGCAGACAGGCAGGACGAAAGAGGGTACTGCTTATGCCACTGTTAAAAAACAGCTGCTCTCCTCTCCACCAATGCTGAATGAAGAAATTCATGGCAGGACAAAGAAAGCATGTTTGAATATCTAGCACTACTGACCTCTGTGATCGAGAATTTGTGTGGTTCAAAGGCTCAGCAACACTTGGTACCAGTTTTCCTGGAACAACAGATGAGGTATTAATGAATGACAATATTCCCAGTAAATAATTTCACAGTTAGTGCAATGGCACTTCATCTGACAGAGGACCAAAAAAGAAAAACCCAGCAACAAAACTGCAATATTTTTGCAACTTTAGAGTTTACAGATCAGCAAAATTCACCAACAAGGTATGAATGAGAAGCTTGCTGTCTGCACTTACAGAATATGTAGGCCTGGCAAGAAATACCAGCTATGCTGCACTTACAAATGCACAGTGGAGATTTCCAGGTAGAAGGGAAATAACCACAGGGAGCTCTCAGTTATCCATCAACAAACCAGAATGCAAACTAACTATGCAATCCTAGTTTTCTTCTTAATTCACAGTTTCATTCTGTTTCCATTTTTATGCATAAGCCTACTCTTTTTCAAAAAGCAGACAGGCTAAAGCACAAGTTGCCCTTATAACTCAGCTTCTCTGTTTTCAATTTTTCTTTATCCCTTCCCAACACTGGGAAATGAACTGAACTCAGTCTTGTTACAATGAACTGTTCAAGGCAGCAATGTCTCAATGAAACATACACAGAAACATACACCTAAAATGGCAAAATGAAAACAGACAGTGAGTCTTTTTGTATAAAAATGCAACACTTCTAATAAATATTTTCCTTAATGAAAAATAAACAGAAATGTAAAGAAAAGTTTTAAAACTGCATTAGAGCCTCAAAGCGTTCAATTTTGGAAATAAGCCTGATCCCACATCTGGAATTACGTGATATGCTGGAAGGACTCTGTAAACTGAGCAAACACAGTCACTGACTGCAGGTACAGGCCTCTCTCAAAGCCATCCCAGCAGTTGCCTGGCAGAGAAGCAGAGGTATTTATAAAACTTGTCTCTAGAACCCTCTCCCTTTCCTTCTGCCCTTCTCAAGTAGGTACCTGCATTAGTCCTGTTTCTTGCTCCAGGAATCTTCTGTGATTTGGGAGGGATGGGAAGTTTTGGGACACCTCCATTGCACACTGGGTTAGCCACAGGCATATGCAGAACCTTGAAAGAATAAAAATATTGGACTACAATTTGCCAAAAGACTCATCACTTCAGCTTTAACCCTGAAAATCTTGTGAGGTGCTACCTGGCAGGCAGGTGCTGAGAATGCATTTCCATTTTGTCCTACTACTGAGAGAGGTATCATTCCCACCATTCCTTGCAAAACTGGTTGCACTGGAGATGTAATTATAATGGCAGAACCTAAAAAAAAAATAAAAAAAATCAAAGTGTTAAAATTGTACAGAAATTAACAATATTTTAGCGAAAAGAAAAGCTTCAAGACAGGGTTTCTTAAAACTTTGTGTGGTCAAACCCACGGGAAGAAGAGCTTCAGCTTCTTAGAAACACCTCTGTCCTGGCTATATTTTTGCTACTAGAAAACATAAGTGTCAGTATTATTTTTAACCTACATTGAATTCTTTACCTAAAGTCTGTTTTCCTTTTTAAGAAACAGTTCAAAATTCAGCTTGAAATATAATAAACCTATCTTAAGGCTTAAACTTTTAATTAAAGTGACTTATAAAAACCAGTAAAAGTAACACTGAACAGCTCACTCAGCTGCCAGACATACAGGAATTATAACACAGGGAAACCATCACAGAATACTAACTGAAAAGTGGAAGACAATTTTTCAAAAGTGAAAAACACCTGTTTTTCTCTCTCTGTGAAAAAACAGTGAATGTAACAGTTGCATAAAGAAACCCTAATGGCAGAAAAGGTCAGCACTCCAAGATGTTGCCCACACAGCTGTATTGGCTTCTGACCACAATGAAATCACTACACACAGAAATTCAACCAGAACTGCAACAAGATTTTAGTTCTGGAAACAAAATGTGTTGATTACAGCTGATTTATAGTTAGGTTTAATATTTGAAGAAGCACTCAAAATTTTTACTGCTGTAGTAATAAAAATACTTGTACTAGAAGATTTTACATAACAGAAATAAATAATGTTATACTTCCATATTTACCCAAATGTACTTTGAATGTAGACTAGGGTTTTGCAAAACAAAACAAAACCAAGGAAGTCATCTGAGAAGGACTAGCTACACCTACTCAGCCATTCAAACTGAATATTGATACCTGCAACATTTATAACAGGAATCTTATTAAAACAAAAAGCCAGAACAATGGAATCATTTCTAAATTTCTCACTGCTAAAAATATCTAATTTAAGCTTCTGAAATATTAGAGGTTTTTTTTTCAGAGCAGCCTGGTCAATGACTTTTGGTAGGTTTTTATTTCATACACTGAAAAAACTGAAAAAAAAAGTAGTTTCAAGGGGCAGACTGAGCAGTTTAAAAATTGTTTACTTTTAATGTGCTAAGACAAAAAGGGAAAAAAAAGAGAACAAAACCATTGTATCAACCCCACATTTTCAGTAATTTTCTAATAATGAGATTACCCTGTGGGAAGTTTGGGGGGATGGTCTGGTTTGCTGGAAATGTATTGCTGGATCTAGGAGGAGTCCGTAACGGCTGTACAGCTGGAGCTTGGGAAGCGAGTGGCATAGAGTTGCCAGGCAGTACAACTACATTTGATGGTGCTACAGCTGTGCCCAAGGCTGCTGGATCAGTCATACAGGTGGCTATATAAAGGTTGCTTGAATTCCCAAAACCTGTGCTTGCTGCTGGCATCAGCTGTATAAATCCCCCTTCGCTGGAGAGATTAGTCGGACCCGCAACTGAAAAACCCGCGCAGTCCTCGTTCTGAGTGTTAACTGAGGTGACCACAGGATCCTTAGGTCTAAGCACAAGGAGATTCTGCTCTGCCAAAGCTGAGTCCACGTTTTTTTCTGTTTCTTCTGAAGTCAGACATTTGGACAGGCCTGCAGTTTTGGTTGGGGATTTGCCTGGAGATGACAATATTATAGTAGGCAAGTTTTCTCCTGTGATGCTGGTAACAGCACTGTTTAACTCCGTGTCTGATGAAATAAATGGATCATCGCTGATGATGATCTTGAGGGACATTATATTAGAAGGATCAACATCCATTGGCTGACTACTAGAAGACACACTGCTTATACTTTTGGCCTCAGCACCTGACTCGTCTGTTGAGGATGCAGACTCTGGGAGAGGAGAGTGGCATATTTCAGAGGTAGTAAGATTATTTTCAGTGGATACTACAGGAATCTTTGTACATGCACTATCACCAGAAGAGAAATATAAATTATCAGCATCTACTTTTGTAGAAGATGAAGGTTCTTGCATTTCCCCTTGCGTTCCCACCGAGTTTGACAGTCCTGAAGGAAGGTTAAAATCTTTCTTACTAGGCTTATCAAGTGTATGTTGATCATTTGAATAAGTTTTGTTAGAAGTATCAACAACTTCAAGCTGCAACTCCGTTTTGTCAAGATCTGAAATCTCCACTGCAGATCCTGCAGCACAGTCTGACTGTGTGCTCTGGTCCTGATGGTCAGAGTGGTGACTAGAGCTCTCCTGTAAAGCACCAGGTAGTGCAGCTGTCTCGTTTGTTACAGCCTGTTCTTTTTCTGCATCTGCTGATGGGCTAGAAATGGGTGAACTATTTTTTCCCAGCAGTACACTGTGGCCAGGGCTCCCATCAGAAGGGCTTCCAGAAAGTGTTTTTTCAGATAGTGATGTATCTGGTGATAACTGACACTTACTTCCAGCATGACTTTTGTTTTCAGTGGCTGCAGTGCCTTCTGCCAATGAAATCAAAGAAATCTGTGGACTACCAGAAGGAACATATTCTAAATTAGAACTACCCTGAGCACTATGACTTGGTGCTCCTTTTTCAATTTCCATAGGGCTCTCACTTTCAGATACTAACGTAGATGACTCATTTGTAACATAAGTGTCTCCATGGTGCTCATTACATTTGCTATCAGAACTCTGTGCCTTGTTAGCTTCAGTCAAACCAGGCACGGAGTCCAAAGCAATTTCAAGCTCTCCAATATGTTCAGGGGTAATGGTTTTAAGTACTTCAGCCTGCGTCCTTGGCCTACAGTTTTGATGCAGTTCTTCACTGGTTGTATTTTTCTTAGCTGTATCATCATCATTAATGCTGGTCTTCACAGCACACGATGCTTCTCCCAACTGGAAATCTTTACAGGACACTGATTCTCTAGAATTATCACCTGTAAAACAGAGAATAAATTAGTTCCATAATTATTAGAACAGGTGATTCTTTTACAGTGTTTTAAGAAACAACGGTTCAATGGAAAACTGTTTCACATGAAACTAAGTGGGAACAATGCTACTCATCCTTACTTTCATGCTGAGTGGAAAAACACATAAAAGATATGGTTACATATATTAGTTGATCTGGAAAACTGGTTTGTACATTAATAAGAAGTGTACACATAACATGGGAACAGCTCAGGACACCAAATCAGATTTCCAGAAGCGCAAAAATCACGTCAGGATAATGACCCCTTGGCTCTATTGCTCATATACTTTCACTAAATATCTGCTCCTGACAGACTGTTGTTAAGAATGGTGCAGACAGACTAAACATACCTTTTGTCCAGTGTAAGTCTCTTTCTATGTATTAATTAACCAATACATTACAGAATAGAGATAAAAGATTATATGGTTAGATGTAAAAATATTGTCTTCATGTGTTAGACAATGACTACTGCAAAGCATCTCTGTTTTGAATGCGAAAACAGATTTGCCAATAGTTTGGTTGCATTTAGGAGCTTATCAAGTACAGCCTGTGAGTACACTGAGGGACTACTGTTAATTTTAATTGACTGAAACTTTCTAACAGACCAGGTGTATCCATATGCTCATGCAATGTAAATGTCAGATGGCATATCAGCAGTGAGAACAGAAAGATTTTGAAATGTACAAACCGTTTGAAAATATTTTCACAATGAAAATTCAACAGACCAGAAGCAATCTTAAAGAAAAAATAAAGAACCTACATCTGCTAGTTTCTTCTGTTCCTAAAGAACTCTCAAATGTTTCCAGGCTATCTTCACCCACCAGAATTCCATTTTCTACTCCACTCTGACCAGAAATACCAGCAGGTAAGGTCTTGTTCACTTTGCTCTTTCCTATTTTCAAAATAAAACATGAAGAATGGTTAAAGATGTCATTTTACACACAAATGCGATTATTACATTTTAAACGAACCATAGCACAAAAATCTCCTTATAGTTAATGTGGAGATATCCCTGAATGGACATATAGAAGAACTTTACAACACCAAAAAAGTATCAACTCTCATCCTTTAGACCAGAAGAGTCTACAATAACAGCAATAAAACAATCACTGAGCCAGCACAAACCCAGAATTAAACCACAGGAACATGCTGTAGTCTGTATTTATGTATAAATGTATCTAAGAATCTAACTCTGAATTGAGGGACACCAATTCATGCAGTCCATGTCTCTTGCAAGAGGACTGCTGAATTACTTGCTTTGTCAAGCAAGACTTGGGAAAACTCATCATTCACAATTTTTTCAAGTAACAGTACAACTCAGTATAATGTACACTACCATAATCAAACAAGTCAAAGAGAGCCTGAAAAGCTGGATCTGACTCTGTCTGCTCTAGAATGTCCTGTATGGCCTCTTCTGACATATGAATTTCACCCTGAGAAAAGACAAGATAAACAGAACTGTTAGACAGTTACTTCCATAACTTAAAAAGGAAAAAAAAAAAAAAAAAAAAAAGGTGTTTTCTTTTCAGATTGTTTTTAAAACTCTTACTTCTGCTCAGCACAGAAACATAAAGACTAATGCTGGAAACACTTCTGCCACAAATTTAATGTCTGTTAAAACGACTAGTGACCAAAGTTTAAGAAATAAGGTTCCCCCACAATCCAAACATCTGTCAGGCATTACATGCTGCACATACATATTATTCTCCACATAATGACCAGCACTGACCAATAAGGACTCGGTCCTGGGCTACACTGGATGCCTAAGCAGATGGCATGGATGCCATGATGCCTAGCCAACCACTGGTTAAAAAAAAACAACCCAAATTAACTCTAATTCCTTAGGTTTGAATACATCTAGAAGACAACACTAACCAAAGAGAAGTTTTATTTCATTTATCCATTCCATGTTCTGTAATATAACTTCCAACAACTTTTCTGTGGAAGGCAGTTGGAAGGCAGAGCTACATGGGACAGGGCTCCAAGGCCCCTGTTTAGAGCTGACTTGTTTGGTAGAAGCTCAGGAATAAAATTAGTGGGGGACTCAAGAACATCCTCAAGTGTTTAAATACAAAGTTTCTCCTGACTTCCTGGAGATCCTCTAAGCCCTCTACAGTCTTTAATACGGTGGTTGTAAGGGTGGATATCCCATGTGATATGCTTTATTATTTTGTCTCAGCCACTTCAGGTAAGCTGTACTGGCAAACAGAGACAAATAAAAAGGAAGGAGAGGAAGAGGAAAGCTGTCTTAAGACAAATGTGAATAGGGCAACACCTACCTGAAGTCCAAGGATTTCATCAATTGAAGTCTCCTGTTCCGTGGGACCAGTGTCTGTCTGTTTAGGGGTGTGCGCAACGCTGGCATCACTGGAACACATCAGTCATTAGTTCAGAACTCAAAAATAAATCAGGTAAGAATATACATTAAGTTTAGAGGCTCCTTTTATTACCTGCCCAGGAATTTGTTAATGTTCTCAGCAAGCTTCTCCTGAAGAGATTTGTTGTTCAATATTTTTTCTCTCGCATTTTCAATAACCAGTTGCTGGAAAACAGTTTTAAAGTGATCAGGCTTCTATTTTTATCATCACTAGAAAAGAAGCATGAGTTTCCAACCAAAAAACACCCCAACAATTAAAAAACCCGATTCAAACAGGGAAGAGTTTTCTAACAGAGACAGCCAATCTGTGACCACATGACATAGCTATGAAAATCATCCCAAAACATTCCTGTACTTCTACTCTCCTAAAGTACAGCAAGGCTTATAGTGCTTTCTAGTTTCCGTTCTCTAAAGACTTACTGTATTCTGATACTTACAGGTATCTTAGCAAAGCAAATTAATCAAGAAAAACAAAACTCTACATAATGATGCCATCCTTATGAGTTTAGTACACTGAAGAGCTAGTTCAAATACAAACCAATACATTTATCTTCTAAAGGTAGTTTCTAAAATACCCAAGATGAACAACATGTAAAAGACTAGTTCTCTTTAGTTTGAATTTGTTTCCGAAATGTAAAAACCTTCCATAAACATATACTCACTGGGAAGTTACCATCAATTAAGTCTTCAAGGGGCTCACTTTCTTTTTCTACTACTACTTCAGAGTCTTGAGAACTTCTAGCTGCTGAAAGAGGTCCAGATGTTGCCATGCTTTTCCTCTTCTGAGAGTCACTGTAACGTTCCAGAAAATTTATGATACATTTTACGAGAACATTGCAAACAAAAGACCTAATGGTCAGTAAATCAAGTGTTTCTCTTCCTTCTTAGCAAACAAGAGATTTTTAATCACCAGAAAATGAACTACATATTGAGAATACAATAAAAGCCAATACCTGTTTCATTATGTCGTATGCATCTATTGCGTCCGACTTCATAGAAGTTACAAACAAATATACAGACTGTGGGTAAATAGCACAATGGCAAATTGAATTCCATGCCCACAACTCAGTACTTCCCCTTCCCTCCTCTACATGCTACTTTCAGTGGTGGTACAGGTCCTAATTAACTGCCACTCATAAAAACTTTTTGGGCATTACCACTGAAAACAAAGACCTCTCAAGGAGCAGCTGTGGCCAAAGAAGGAAACAAATGTTAGGTTCCCTAAAAATTTACATGATGGATAGGAAATGCAATGTTTGATATGAGATCGCAGCGTAGGCTCTTCTGCAAACATTAAATCAGCAGTAGCACTAAAACCACTTATATACAAAAACAAAATCATGCAGGAATAGAAAGGACTTAGAAAAGGTATAAATTAGTAAGCATCTAGAAAAGCAGTAAGCAAAACCACCAACTAGGATTTAGTCAGGAACAAGGACAGATAAATGGAACACAAAGACCAGTTAACTCAAAAAAAAAACCAAAAAAAACAAAAAAAACAAAAAAAACAAACCACCCCCGTTTTTAGCACTACTTCTAGTGCAAATATGAATTTTTTTTCCTGGCAAAATTTACTGAAGCCAACAGTTTCACTAAGATAAATGCACATTTTTATCAATGCTAAGAATTTTTGTAATTGAAAAGGATATTTTGGAAGGATGGCAAAGTCTCAGCTCCAAAATTATTTGCTATGTCTAATACTGGACTAGTGTATACACCGACTCCACATAAAGAAGCACAAGCAGCCTCCTATCAGCCTAATGTTAAGCTCTTTGACTTTCCTTTCCTTTGTGAAAGTTCACACACTGGCCAGCCTCAGTGGATCTTAAATGTGAAACACTCCACCATTTAAGAAAATTTACACTAGAGGTTAGAACAGCGCAGAATTTCTAAACAATCTTAAAAGAACCAAATCAAACCCACACCCATGGTTACCTTTTTCGTCTTCCTGGAGAAAGCAAGTTTGAATGGAGCTTTCGTTCTTGCGATGTTGGAACTTGAATGTGTATGAAACCTCCTGCTTAATAAAGGGAAAAACAAACAACAACAAAAAATAAATCATGATGCCAGTACCTTTTCCAGTGACACTGTTAGAGCAATACAGAAATCTACATATTACTTAGTATGTTTCAATCAACTCCTGGGAATTCATACAAAATAATTTGGTACTACCATGCAAATGAGAACTATTCCTTTTAACTGTATCACAAAATAAACATCTACGTGATGTTTATCATCTACATCTGCCAAGACAAGTGTTTTGGGTGAGGGTGAGAACATGGGACAGAATAATCACAAATTAATGCACTTCTGATCTCTGACCTCACATCAGCAAGGAGGTATGTAAGAGCCATTGCTCTTTTGGGCACTCATAGAATCAAACCAGGTTGGAAGAG